TATGCTTTTGATGTCAAATCTAAGAACTCTTTGCCCAGCCCCAGATCCTAAGATTTCCATGTTTTTTCTAAAAGTTTTAGCTGGGTGCAGTGGTGTGCACCTGTGGTCCTGCTACTTGGGGAGGCTGATGCAGGATGATCACTTGAGCCCAGGAGTTTGAGGCTAGCTTGGGCAACATAGTCAGATGGAGCCCCGTCTCAACAAAATAAATAAGAATAAAAATTTTGTAGTTTTACATTTAATTCTGTAATCCATTTTTGAGTTAATTTTTGCAGGAAGTATTAAGTCAGGATTCTTTTAGGTGTATGCTTATGGATGTCTAGTTCCTCTAGCACCACTTCTTCAAAAGCCTGACTCGGTGCCATTGACTGACTTTTTGCATCATTTTCAAAAATCTCTTGGCTTTATTAGTATGGATTTATTTCTGGGAGGTTTTAAAAAGAATTCCACAAAAGTTGTCCATGTTTTTTAGAAGATGTGAAAAAGTAGAAAATGAAAAATCTGTGAAGTTTTATCAAAGATAAGCTCTGTTAAATTTCCTTCCCATCTTTTTCCTGTGCTTTTTTTTTTTTTGCTGTTGTTTCAAATAAATTCATGCTACATATAAAAAGTTGTGTCCTGCTTTTTAAAAATGCCCATTATTAGCACCTTCCATGTTATTACAAATATTTCTTAATATTATTTTAGTGATCCTTTGATATTCTGTTTTGTGGCATCCTTATGATTTAGGTTTCCAGGTTTTGTTTTTGTTATTTAAAAGACCTTTCTGATTAATATCTTTGCTCAGTAAACCTTTTAGTTAATTACTAGATTGAAACATATGAATGTTTTTCAGATTCTTGATATTTCATTGCCCCATTGCTTCTGAAGGGGTTTCACCCCATTTACATCTCCACTGTTGTTATATCTTTTAGATTAAAGCAGCATTTAATTTTTTAGAATTTCCCTAAATACTTGTTTAGTTTGAATTTTCAGATTCTGTGCTCTCTTCGGCAGCACATATACTAAAATTGTGAATTTTCAGATTCTATTATTTCTTGTTAGCCCTAAAATTAACTTTCGCTAAGTGAAAATTACATGTAAATGTTAGCGATTGGTACTAAAGTAATATTCAGTAACATTTATTCATATAACAAATGTAATTTGCATTTTATCAACTTGTAATTTATAATAAAATACAGTTGTGGGTTAGAGAAAGTGATTTTTTTAGTAGTTGTTTGTATTTTACTTATTTTTGTTTGTTTTCTTTAACAGCCCAGCAGGCTAAGAAGCTTAAAAAAAACAAACAAACAAACTTTCAATACAATTATTTACTTCAAATTTATGTTTAGGCTTTGATTTAAATGTTATTATTTTGCCTCCCTCAAACAGAAAGCGATAGATCTGGCTAGCAAAGCATCGCAGGAAGACAAGGCTGGGAACTACGAAGAAGCCCTTCAGCTCTATCAGCATGCGGTGCAGTATTTTCTTCATGTCGTGAAATGTGAGGCCGTCGGTTATGTTTTATTTAAAAACACGAAAAGAAAAATTTATTCTATTTCATATCTTAAAAATTGAAATATAATGCCAGCAAATTCTAAACTATCCATTTGTTAAAAAAAAATTTAAAAAAAAAAGTCCACTTTCTTTCTAGTGATTTTTAAGCAATGAGACTTAGCTAGCAAACGTGACAGCCATCATAGTTATTACTTTGTATACCGAAACATCTTAAAATGTAGTATGGTCAGAGGAAAATAGATTGGGAGACATTTTATTTGTGTCTTTACAGATATGTATTGCATGTTTACCATGTGGCAGGCACTAGGGATACAACAGAAAACAATGGATAAAACCCCAGCCTTCATGGCTTTTAAATGGAATGTAGTTGGATAATTGAAGATGTTCTTTTGAACTTCTCTCATTTATTTCTGAGGTTTTATGTTAAAGTGAAACTAAGAATGAGTCATAACCTGTAAACTATGTGGGGCTCATCCCATCTACTGCATGTGTTGCCAAAGTTCACACTGAGAACAGCTCTGACAGAGGCCTTCATGTAGTAAAATTATGACACTGGTATTACACAGAATGTGTGGGATTTCCATCACTTTACTCTTCTGAAATAAAGCTTTTGTAGACATTCATGGAAATGATTAATACTGCTTTCCTTCTCTTTGTCTTTCTTATAATTGGGTTTGTGGAAGACAAGCAACTTTGAACTATCTGCAAAAAATGTAAGGGAAGAGTGTGAAAGCTTCAGAATATTAAATAATTTCCTGTTAACATTAACTTAAAATACCCTGCTGTCTTGCTCAGATTGTTTCTGACTCAGACCCACTGTTGGTCTCCAACCCTGCTGGGGAAAGGGATAGAAAAGAGGTAATAATCATTGACTACGAAGAGTTAGAGATGCTCTTCTCTCCTTCTCCCAACATAGAATTTCCTTGTCTAAAAAATACATATTTAAGAGTTCAAACCTTTCTACACAGAATACTAATGGAAAAAAATCTCTCTCATTTCTCTTTAATAGATGAAGCACAGGGTGATAAAGCCAAGCAAAGTATCAGGGCAAAGTGTACAGAATATCTTGATAGAGCAGAAAAACTAAAGGAGTACCTGAAAAATAAAGAGAAAAAAGCACAGAAGCCAGTGAAAGAAGGACAGCCGAGTCCAGCAGATGAGAAGGGGTACGTGTTTAAAATTGTTCAATTTTATTGTGGCTTTTAGCTTTTGATTTGTGAAATAAATTTCTTTTGATTAAAACAGGTGTCAGCAAACTGTGGCTCATGGGCCAAAGCTGCCCAGCTGCCTGTTTTTGTAATAAGTTTTATCAGAACACAGTCTTGCCCAGTCTTTTACATATTGTTGTCTAGGGCTGCTTTCATGCCATGACAACAAAGTTGTGTGGTTGTATGGAGACTATATGGCCCACGAAACCTAAAATATTTACTTGTTTGGTCCTTTACAAAAAAAGTCTGCTGACGCCTAGTTTGCCAAGCTTAATGGATGATATTCCTCAAACATCGCTTCCTGACTGCCTGCCAGTAGTAGGGGAGAATGCTTGTAGGAACAGCACTCAGTTACCCTGTAGTCTTTAGCTAATATCGAAGCTTAAGATTATAGGAGTGACCTGAAAATTAAACCTTTGACCATATGGAAAAAATGAAAAGTAACTCCAACAATGTAAACTTTTTTCAGATATCTTATGCAAAATTTTTTGATGTGAATTTGTGTTAGATTTGCTTTATGTTGTCATTGTAAAGAAAACAACACAGCACAGCATAACTTATAAACATTGAAACCGATTTTTGACATGTCTTCTAGATGGGGGATGTATCACTTCTAGATGCAGAATTTGTTTATTCAGTACATGACATATGCATGCCAAGTTTGTGCTGAGCACTGGGAACATATTCTAACCACATCCTCTCTGACTCTCCTATTAATTGATGCCAGTAGTTCCAGGTAACACACCCTTAAGAAAATGAGACTCTGGGATGGAGTTATCGGGCCTGGTTGGGTTTGAAAGCAGGGAGGTTCTGCTCAGCTTTAGAGGATGCGGTTCTCATTGTTCATGGTATGCAGTGGCGCAAGTTACTGAAACGATACCCTGTGGTCACAAGGAATGAAGTGCCTTTTAGGCAGTACTTTGGGGCTTTGGCCTTTTAGAAGGACATGAGGAATATAAGAACCAGTGTTGACTTGGCTGCTTCAAACTAAGTGGCAGAGTTTGAAGGAAATGATAAGCTCAAGCTCAAGGTTTTATATTCTGTGTTCAAGATGTGATCGGGGAACTAGGGAGTTTCTGTGAGACCCTAACAACATTTTATCTTCTTCATCGATAACATTGACATAACAAAAATCAGATGATAGTCCAATGTGATGAATTATTGAATTTCAACTTAGGGTTTCTTACATGAAAGTGAGGACATTTAGTATAAAACAGGGACTGCAAACATGAAGTGAAAATACTGGGAAGAATTTAGTTGACCGTGACTGCCTGGGACCTCCAGCTCTCACTGAAACTCCCTTGACCGCAGAAGCTTCTCTTCCCTTGTCCATAGAAGCTCTTCTGGTCGTACTTGAAAATCCTGTAAGGATCTCTCTTGAGATAATTACCTGACAAGGTGATGCCGTTTTTCTCCTGTACTGAACAGCAGTCTTCATTTACAGTAGGACCCACTTTGGCTAATTTAAGCAAAAAGGGATGTATTATAGGTATTACCTTACAGAATAGTGGGGCCAGGGAATCAGACTTGGATCACAAGGAGAAATGGCTGACAGTACCAAGGTTGTTCAAGTAGGGATCCCACTGTTGCCAACAACTCTGCCAAGCACTGGTGGTGCTTGGGAGCAGGCAGTAAAACCTCTGCGCAGCTCCCTCAGCAGAACTAGTCTCCTTGTGAGTAGCCCCCACCTTCTTGGAAGCATTTAGGTCTCATGTGGAACCCTAGCTGCAAGGGAGATGAGAAACGGCAGTTTGTTTTTAATAAGGACAGCCTTTATAGTACTGGACAGCATGGTAGTAGGAGGTTAAAGTGAGTGTCAAGTGAATCTGTTTTGCAGTGTCTGCCTCACCCACGGCCCCACCATCCTATGATAACCAAGGCAATTCCATTTTGGCATAAAATATGTCATGCTTTTATCCCCCTTTATATGTTGTTGTTTTAAAAATGATATAATGCCTTATTTTTGGCTTTATCACTTTTATACTTAACATTGTATCAGGAACATCTTTCCAATAAACTATTTCCACATCACTTTTAAATGTTGCAATGTATCCTGTCATATCTAGTCCCTGTAATATGTTACTTTTTCCCTTTTTGCAAATGGTGTGTGTGTGATTATCCTTATGGTCAAATCCTTGAACTTTTCTAAAATTATTTCCTCAAGATAAATTCCTAGATATGAAATACGTTGATCGACCTACTTGTTCTTTGAGTGTAGTTCATTGTCCTCAAGAAGCTTCCTCTATCCTTTGGAACCCCCAGACTAAGGGTTGTAGACGTTTGTACCTTAGATAATTAGTGTTCCAGATTTTTTTTCCTCCTAATATGACCTCTTGTTCTAATTTATATCTTGCCCAGTCCTAATGTTTTTACTGTTGTTGTTTGCAACTCTCCTGTAATTCATCTTGAATCCTTCATGGAGTGATGTGTGGGGCATGCATTTATGAATTAATACATACCTAAATATGTCATGGGAATTTGGAGCTAGTTCCTGACTTCATTCTGGTCTTTTTGTCCCTTTCCTTTACATGATTCTCTATTGGTGATAACGTGCCTGCTTCCTATTTTATTTACTACGTTCTTTAAGTAAGCATAGCTTTTAATGTAAATGTCTGATTTTGCCACTTAAATTACAAATATTTCAGGTTATTTTTTCCTTCATTTTTGCCTTATTTGATAGCAATGAGTGATCATTTGAATATATTGAATTCTTTTTATTAGGAATGACAGTGATGGGGAAGGAGAATCTGATGATCCTGAAAAAAAGAAACTACAGAATCAACTTCAAGGTTGCTTTAGATTTCATTTTTAAATTTACTATCCTATTAAAAAGACTCAAAGTGAATTGTCTATTTGAATTGTCTTTGTTCTCCCTCTGTATTTAAATGAAGTTTAAGAGCTGGCTTTGGTTCCCAGTAGTCATGTGCTGGCTTTGTTTAGGGTGTGTTTTTAGGGTTTGCCCTCTAGGATCATGGTTTGGCCTTTTTTATATAGTAAAAGTTTTGTTGGCTTCATATCTGCTTTTAAAAGGCTCTCAGTCCACTTGCTCTTTGATTTTGTTTATTTGCCCCCTTTTAGAGAAGGTAGCATTTATACTCTTACACACTGCAAAATGTGATGGTATTAAAATTTACTACTGTGAGGGGCACAGAAGTTAGGACTTACACGTGGCTTTTATTGCCGTTGCTGTAGCTCACTTATTGATAGTTTATTTTGTTTCTTAACTGCTCTTCATCTGCTTTTCAGTGTTCCTGTTTACATTTAAGTGTTTAAGCTTTCTATGTTTACCTTCCACACCTGTGAACCCCTTTCATTCTGTTCTGCTATAGCGTAGTGGCATAACCGAGGGGACATAGATTTTTGGCTCCATTCAGGTCTTCATTCTGTTCAAGGGTCTGCCACTTAGAAACTTTATAATTGTGAGTGAGTGACTGAGCCTCTCAGAGTCAGAGTCCCTCATCTCTAAAATAGAAATAAGCAATAACTTCCTTTCAGGGCTTTTAAGATTAATGATAGTATAAAAACTACCTAATATATCTGACGAAGTCTAGGGACTCAATAAATGCTAGCTCTGTTTATCTAAAAAGGCATCTATTTGTTGGCTGGCTTTGTTCATTGCTGAGATTTGATTATTCTTTGAAATAAATTATCTAACAATTTTTCAGATTGAATTTTTTGCTCACCCAATGGTAGTATGTATTTTGTTCATTTGAATCTTATCAAATAGAATGCATAACTGGAAAGGATTTCCATTTTATAGGTTCAGACTTGGTTACTGAATAGTGAAAATACCTACCTTAACCAGACTTTTAGCCTTGCTATACTAGTGTCTTCGTTTTGGTAATATTTTTGTCTTGCCTACCCTACTGGGATGTCTAGGAAAACACTGTAGAATAATATGTTGACAACAGACCACGTAATGAGGATAGAAAACATCTTTAGGTGCCAACAACCTCAGTGGTAGGTGTCGTCCAGGAGCGAAAACTTGAGTTTACACTGCCATGTCCCCACCACCTGAAACTGCTGGCATGCACTGCCCACTCAGTTGGCATTTATTGGGTAACCCTGTGGTCTGTGCCAAGTGGCCTTATTCCAGTTGTAAAGCAAGATACTTTTTCTATCTGCTCTTTTGGTTTTGGTTTTGTTTCCCTGCCCCAGGTAAAAATCAGTTGTATATCTTTAATTTTGAAAAAGATACCTTTTTTTTCTTTTTTGTTTTTCTGAGACCGGCTCTCACTGTGTCACCCAGGCTGGAGTGCAGTGGCACGATCATGGCTCACTGCAGCCTCAAACTCCTGGGTTCCAGGGATTCTCCTACCTCAGCCTCATAAGTAGCTGGGAACACAGGCACACACAACCATGCCCAGCTAAGTTGATTTTTTTTTTGGTTTTTTAAGCGATGGGGTTTGGCCATGTTGCCCAGGCTGCTCTCAAACGCCCGAGCTCAACTGATTCGCCCACTTCAGCCTCCCACAGTGCTGGGATTACAGTTGTGAGCCACCGCTCTTGGCTGATACAACCAGTTTTTAATAGGGATTTCTCTAAATTCCATATCACTTATGATAAGGGCCAGCAATGTAAAACAAACAAACAAAAACCAAATACTTAAAACATTTAAATGAGGAAATGTATTTGAAATTTCGGGATGAAATAGAATGTGAAAGGAGTCCTAGCCTTTTATGTTTGAATATCCTTTTTTTTTTCTACTTTTTAATGGTTTGCTGCTGGATTTCATACTATTACATATTTTTTGAATTTTTCCTTGTTTTTTGAACAGTATTTTAAATCTTTTACCTCTGTTTTAGATTATGATATTAAGGGTATATTTGTTAAAATTAAGAATTGGTTTGTGATTTGAGTTTTCTGTTAGCTAATTTTATTCAGTGAATTTTTGTGATTAAATAATATACTAGTGTAATAAATAGTATAGTCAAAGACTGGATAAATTTATATCACTGAAGTACATTCCATTTGTTAGCATTTTTCAGTAGTCCTATCCCCCCATTTTTAGTTTTGCAAACCATGTCTAGTATGAGATTGTTGATCAGTAAACATTCCAAAGTCACCTTTTAACTTAAAAGTATTAGTTATATATGAAAACAAATCATGACATATTTTTAAAATTTATAGCAGAAAATCTTGAGTTAGTCGGATGGTGTACATATATAAAATAAGTTTACTTTTGTTTAACTGACATGAAATCCTAGGATTACTAATCTTAATGAAACATAAAAAAGACGAAGTGAATTTACTTTTTTCTTTATAGTAGTCTGAACTTTTGTAATACAAAATGCTTATGATTTCATTTAATTTTAATCTAGTAGCTGAAGATTTTCATAATTTAGGGAAGTTGCTGAGTAACTAGTCTTAGAGTAACAGATTATCTTTCCTAACAAGGAGAAACAATCAGTAGAACTGATTTCATAAAGTAATAGATTGTGTAAGTGGTGGTGTTCTGTTACACTTAAGACTACTAAGTGCATGCCATCTCAGAACAGGCTGCTTCATCTTTTATAGTGGAACAGTTTCCATATTCTAGAAAATTAGAAAAGCTTTCGATAAAAGAGAACTAGAAAATTTGTCAGTAGGCTGTATTAAAAGACGTCCTTCTTGGACTCATACTGCAGTAATTGCTTTGGCTTTTAAATATACGGCATTCAGAAGCTAAATCTTCCATGTAAGTTAACTTTGTTAATTAACGAAAGTTGTAAATAGATCTGTTTAGCAGCCAAATAGAAACTTCAGCAAATCTTAGGAAAATACTGCAAATCTGCAGGGGTATATTTTCTCTCTTTCCCATCATCTGCTTCCATTCCTTCCTTTCCTCTCCCCTTTTCCTTCTCCCTTCTGTCTATCTGCCTATCTTGAGTTAAATTTGTTAAGCATATTTTTTTTTTCAGTGGTTGAGAAGAGGATTAGATCCCCTTTTCTTTTGGTTAACAGGAGAAATGGTAGAACAAGTACTTTTGATACCCCAAAGTCAATGTATTCAAATATAACCAACTTACGGAACGTTTGGTGCTTTTCCAAACACTCTAATATTCATTATGTCATTTGATTTTTGCACCAACCTATCTAAGTAGTTTGGGCAGATGATATTATTTTCATTTCACAAATGAGGAAGCTGAAACAGAAGGGTAAAGAAACATGCCCCAGGTGATCTAGTCATCCACCTGGTTCCTAGTCCTATTGACTTCTCCCTAACACCTGCTTCCTCCTCACACTATTTCAAAAAGGTTGTTAGTACATAAAACTTTCCCAGACAATTTTATAATGCATTTCCTTAACATCATTATTTCATGTTTTTTTCTAACTTTGGTGAAATAGTCTTTCTTAATTTAAAGATAACATAATTTTTTGTAGGTGCCATTGTTATAGAACGACCAAATGTGAAATGGAGTGACGTTGCTGGACTTGAAGGAGCCAAAGAAGCACTGAAAGAGGCTGTGATACTGCCTATTAAATTTCCTCATCTTTTTACAGGTGACATAACTTTTAAATAATTTTATTTCATGAGTTTGTAAAAGTTCATTGATGACTGAGGCGAAGCATTGTCATTCTTGTCACTAATGAATTATCTTAAATAAATTGTGACTCTTAAAAGGTGGTGATTTATCTTTATACAAGATGTTTTATTTCTTATACATATCCATATTTGCTGTATATATATTGAAAAACAACCTAAATGTCAACCAGTAGGGTAATTCACCAACATGCAATAGAATACTATGCCCTCAGTAAAACAGAGTGTACATCTACATTAATAAATTGTAATCTGCATTGTATTTTATTGAAGAATGTCCACATCTATTACAAAGATCAAAAAGCAGTTATAAACTGAATAGTATGATTCCATGTTTGTTAAATGTGTATGCTGAGAAGTAAGTATAATTGGATTGACATAGAAATATTAATGTATGCCTAGGAGATAAGATTATAGGAGATTTTTACTTTTGACTCTCATCTGAATTTTTGCAGTGGTTATATATTATTTTTTTTGTTTTTTTGAGACGAAGTCTTGCTCTGTCACCCAGGCTGGAGTGCAGTGGTGCGATATCCGCTCACTGCAAGCTCTGCCTCCTGGGTTCACGCCATTCTCCTGCCTCAGCCTCCCGAGTAGCTGGGACTACAGGCGCGCGCCACCACGCCCAGCTCAATTTTTTGTATTTTTTAGTAGAGACGGGTTTCACCGTGTTAGCCAGGATGGTCTCGATCTCCTGACCTCGTGTTCCTCTCGCCTCGGCCTCCGAAAGTGCTGGGATTACAGGCGTGAGCCACCGCGCCTGGCCGGTTATGTATTAATTTTTAAAGAGTATTTCCATTTCTTAAAATGAGAGGTAAGAATCACTTAACAGCTTCAGAGGAAGTGCATATCCTCTAGTAGCAAAACAACATTTTATTATCACTGTGAAGAGAATATTGCTGACCTACCATCTGGGGAAACTTACAGGTTCTAGTTCCAGCAGTAAGTGATATGTCTGTGCTAAACCATTCCTTTATATTATCCTTCTTGTGACTGATAGTCTGTGTCTGTAATATGGCCACACCCACAATCTGACGGTCAGACAGAGGTTTTCCTTTTATAAACATGTTGGTTTATGTCAACGGCAAATCTGTAATGTAGGCCTCAGACTGAGCAGTCCAGACAGTCATGTCATATAGAGCAGTGATGAAGAGCAAAAAGCCAGTAGGTCACGCACTGTCCACCTAACTTCAAGGTGTAGTTTACAACCCAACTTCAGGAGTATGAAACTAACAGCATAAAAGTTGACATCGTAATCCTAGAAAAGCACAAAAATATGGTTGAACTCATTTTATGGTATATTACTTATACCAGTTTTTCTCAAACATAAGTCATTTATGTATCATCTTCATGAATTTTTCCATATATGTGTACCATTACTTTTTCTTTGCTTATTTTTTTGGAACAGTATTTTTACTGGAGTATAGCATAAATATACAGAGACATACAGGAGCCCCTGGGTGTTGGGCTTCCTTAGTTATCACAAAGCAAGCATGCCAGTGTCATCAACCAGATCCAGAAATAACAGCATTGCTAGGGACCTGGCAGGAGCCTTCTGCCTCATTCCTCCCCAGAGGTCATCTCTCTCTCAACTTTTAACACCAGAGATTATTTTGCCTGTATTTGAACTTTAAATCATCTCACATATTTTCACTTAGTAACGTTATTGAAAAGGCTTTGTGCCTATTATAAGTGAAAAAAGTGTTTTCCTAATACACGTTAAAAAATTAAAAAGTGTATACCACCTAAAAGTATTTCATGTTATACCAGTGGTATATGTACCATACTTAGACACTAATTTGTAAATGTATACATTTGAAATAAGAAAATGAAATTCAAGTAATAGTTGCTTTCATAACAGTTAAGTGAAATAGTATTACTCATCTGCATATCATCCTTTTGCAGATACTGTGTATACAGCCATAGTTTGCACCTAGCAGTTTTTTGTTTGTTTGTTTTTTTCTTTTCTTGAGACAGAGTTTCACTCTTGTTGCCCAGGCTGGAATGTAATGGCGAGGTCTTGGCTCACTGCAACCTCCACTTCCCGAGTTCAAACAATTGTCCTGCCTCAGCCTCCCTGGTATTTGGGATTACAGGCATCTGCCACCACACCCAGCTAATTTTTGTATTTTTACTAGAGTCGGAGTTTCACCATGTTGGCCACGCTTGTCCCGAGCTCCTGACCTCAGGTGATCCGCCCGTCTCGGCCTCTCAAAGTGCTGGGATTACATACGTGAGCCACTGTGCCCAGCCATAGTTTTTTAAATGTATGTTTGATAATTTACTGCCAGCTGTAACCCAGCCTGTTTTATTTTAGGCAGAATTATAATTGCTCATTAGCAAAATTGAGGCAGAAAGAGTTGATGTATTCACTGGTTATATTTTGGCAAAACTAGGATTTAAGGTAGTATCACCTTTTTGTTACCCAACCATGGAAGTCTGCTACCTAGATGGGCGCGGTGGCTCACGCCTGTAATTCCAGCATTTTGGGAGGCTGAAGTAGGCGGATCACCTGAGGTCAGGTGTTCAAGACTGATCAACATGGTGAAACCCCATCTCTACTAAAATACAAAAACTAGCCAAGCATAGTGGCGGACGCCTGTAATTTCAGCTACTTGGGAGGCTGAGGCAGGAGAATCACTTGAAACCAGGAGGCAGAGGTTGCAGTGAGCCGAGATAGCACCATTGCACTCCACCCTGGGCAACAAGAGTGAGACTCCGTCTCAAAAAAAATAAAAGGAAGTCTGCTACCTATAACACTAACCTGTGCTTTCCTGTGGAATCAAGATTCAGCAGAAACTCATAAGTCATCCAAACTTTGTTAGGTTCACTTTTCTAAAGAGCATAAATATTGAAAGAAAATCTCTTCCAGCTGCCCATTTTTTACGGGTATAGTTTTTGTACAATATTCTGGTATCAAACTGTGCACACAGTGGATGATCAGAAAGTACCTTTTCACTAAACTCTTTTCCCCTATTAGACTCCATGCAGGGCAGCAATCCTTTTGCCTGTGCACATGTTATGGTTTTGATACATCCTGGTTGAATGAATGAGCAAACAAATGTACTTCCTGTTAGAAGGCTTATGTTATGTAAGTGTGTTTTTGATAAAGTAGTCTCTAGAAGAAACAAAATACATTTAAGACATACCTTAGATTGATTTATTTTTAAAATATTGTTTTAATCCTTACAGGTTTAGAGTGAAAATCTTTTCAGAGTATTCCTCCGTATAGATGATGTCAGTGGTAACTGCAATTAAGTGTTAAAATTCTTGTGACATTTTTCTAAATGTAAATTTTAGGCAAGAGAACACCTTGGAGGGGAATCCTATTATTTGGGCCGCCTGGAACAGGAAAGTCCTACTTAGCCAAAGCTGTAGCAACAGAAGCCAACAACTCAACATTTTTTTCAATATCTTCCTCTGATCTTGTTTCTAAGTGGCTAGGTGAAAGTGAAAAGTAAGTAGTAAATCAATTTTTAAAGTTTTTTCTTTGCCTGTAATTACTGTATCAGTCCTTAATAGATTTCTTACATCATTCATAGATATTCAGAGAAGTGATGTAATGTAAGTACTCAGTTCTCTGTCAAATCAGTCTCTAATCTAGAATTTATTTTGTGGGAAAAGATAGCATATATGTACAACCTAGTAAATCAAAGTGAGTTATCCAGTTGTAGCATTCTTATTTTCTGTACCTGAAACATGATTAGGCTTTTTAATCTACACAGTTCTTGTAATATTGATACATTGCTTTGTTTTACTCTTTTACTATTTTTTAGACACTTAAAGTTTTCATTTATTTTTAGACTGGTTAAGAATTTATTCCAACTTGCCAGAGAGAACAAGCCCTCCATTATCTTCATTGATGAAATTGATTCTCTATGTGGTTCAAGAAGTGAAAACGAAAGTGAAGCCGCACGTAGAATTAAGACGGAGTTCCTAGTGCAAATGCAAGGTAGTGTTACTAATTTTTTTTTTTTTTTTTTGAGACAGAGTCTCACTCTGTCGCCAGGCTGGAGTGCAGTGGCGCAATCTCGGCTCACTGCAACCTCCACCTCCCGGGTTCAAGCGATTCTCCTGCCTCAGCCTCCTGAGTAGCTGGGATTACAGGCACACATCACCACGCCTGGCTAATTTAATGTTACTAATTTTTAAAGTCGTCTTTGTTTATTTTATAACAGTTTTTATAACAGTAATAAAAAATTCAAGCAGAATTTCTCCATTCTAACAAACTGTTTCATTTTGCCATGTTTCATTCCGTTGTCTTCCATATGCATACATGATTTTTACTCAGTTGTAATTATCTTGTAGGACTCACTGACATAAATAGAAAAGAGTTTTAATATATTCATTTATAGTGTACCAGCAGCAACTTCAGTAAAAGTAATATGTAGACTTCAAATGAAATCTTTCAAGAAATATTTCGAAATGAATGTTAATAGTATTTGTCCACAGTCTGGGAGATTTGATGCTTACATTTGCATCATCCTGCATCATAGTGAATTTGGATCATATTGCTGTAAGGTGATATTTGATTAAATACAGTTTTTTTTCAAAGACCCTCAAGATGAGGCACTTTAATGCTAAAGCACCACATTTCTTAACAGAATATATGGAAGAGGTTTAAAGAACAGCAAAATGACAAATTAATTAAAGCATTACCTATTTTAATGCAGGGGTTGGTGTAGACAATGATGGAATTTTGGTTCTGGGAGCTACAAATATACCCTGGGTTCTGGATTCTGCCATTAGGCGAAGGTAGGATAATACAGTAAATGTCTTATTTCTCACCGCAGATGTAACAAGTAGATGATAATTCCCTTTTTGTCATGTGAGGAGGCATTCTAACAACTTTTCAAAAGATTTGTAGTGTACTCTAACCCTGTCGCTCCCCTGCCTTGAGGGGGAGAAGGGTGCTTATTTGCTTGTTTGTTTCCCTATTTTATCAAATATACAAGATTTCCACATACTTGAGTCTTTCATATTAGAAAATATATTACATAATGCTTACCTTTCATTCTGATTAAGTTTGGTGGGCACTGATGCTTCAAAAATTTACAAACATAGTTTGACAATTCAGTAAAAACCATTCATATAAAATTTTAGCAAAATGGCAATTCTATAAGTCAGAGTCAGATAACCAGGTAAGAGTCGGAGTCTCGCTCTGTTGCCAGGCTGAAGTGCAGTGGCGCAATCTCGGCTTACTGCAACCTCCACCTCCCAGGTTCAAGCGATTCTCCTGCCTCAGCCTCCTGAGTAGCTGGGACTACAGGCACGCACCACCACGCCCAGCTAATTTTTCTATTTTTAGTAGAGACGGGGTTTCCCCATGTTGGCCAGGATGGTCTCCATCTCTTGACCTCGTGATCCACCCACCTCGGCCTACCAGAGTGCTAGGATTACGGATGTGAACCACCACACCCGGCCAAGATTTTTTTTTTTTTTTTTTGAAGTGAAAAATGTATGTCAGGCCAGGTGCGGTGGCTCGTGCCTGTAATCCCAGCACTTTGGGAGGCCGAGGTAGGCAGATTGCCTGAGCTCAGGAGTTCAAAACCACCCTGGGCAACATGGTGAAACTCTGTCTCTACTAAAATCCAAAAAAATTACCTGGGCATGGTGGCACACACCTGTCTGTAGTTCCAGCTACTTGGGAAGCTGAGGTGGGAGAATCGCTTGAGCCCAGGAGGCGGAGGTTGCAGTGAGCCAACATTGTGCCACTGCACTACCAGCTTGGGCAACAGAGTGAGACTCCATCTCAAAAATAAAATATGTGTGTGTGTGTATATATCTATCTAATTTTTAAGTTGAAAATAAAACTTCAGCTCTAGGAAAGGCATATGGACTCCTCACTTTTCACTCTTCACAGTTCCCTAGTACATTCATTTATTTTGTATGGTAAAAATTAGCACTTCAGTTTTTGCCACTTTTATCCCATTCACTTGATGATTTGCCAACATGCTAGCTTACCATCCAGTACCAAGAAAGGAAATGTGCAGGGTATTTTTGGAAAATTGCCTTATTCTGCACCCATCTCTAGGGGCAATGGAAACTTAAAATTCTTTTCATTGCCACAGAGAGTTACCTGGAGGAAAAACAGTCTGCTCAGACCACTTAAATTATCCCTCATCGCTGCTTCTCTATCTCCAAATACATCCTAAGAAGGCAAGCAAAATTATTGTTAATGAAACATAGTGTTTATTTTTTATAATATAGGATTGTTTGTTCTGGATGTATTCATTAAAGTGGACATTTTGTGTAATGTATATCCTATAAGATTGTGAGTTAATTCTATTTTGAATGTAGAGAATTACTGTGTCATCTCTACTCCTATTTTATATTGTTAATCATTAGTCCCTTGATCAAGAGTTCACAGTACAATTTTGTGGGAAACTGTAATCCTGTAGGACCTCTTTTTATTTCATGAATTCCAGACATATGAACACTGTGGCCAAAATAACCCAAAAATCATGCGCGAAATATTCAACCACTCCAAACTGGCTCCCGGGCTATTTTGATTTTATTTGTTTGTTTTTAATGTGTTCTGGATGTTCTCCCTTGAACCGAAATATATATGTTTAACCTTGGCACATACACGCCCACTTAGTGTCTGTTTCTCCTTGCAAATATCCTAATTTTCAATTAAATATTTTCTTGATGTAATTTCTCTTTTAAGATTTGAGAAACGAATTTATATTCCTTTGCCGGAACCCCATGCCCGAGCAGCAATGTTTAAACTGCACCTGGGGACCACTCAGAACAGTCTCACGGAAGCAGACTTTCGGGAACTTGGGAAGAAAACAGATGGTTATTCAGGGGCAGATATAAGTATCATTGTACGTGATGCACTTATGCAGCCTGTTAGGAAAGTACAGTCAGCTACTCATTTTAAAAAGGTAAGTCATTTTCATCTATCCTTTCCTATCTTTTTTTTTTTTTTTTTTGAGACAGTCTCACTCTGTTGCCCAGGCTGGAGTGCAGTGGCACTATCTTGGCTCTCTGCAACCTCCACCTCCCAGGTTCAAGCGATTCTCGTGCCTTAGCCTCCTGCGTAACTGGGATTACAGGCGTGTGCCACCATGTCTGGCTAATTTTTTGTATTTTTAGTTGAGACGGGGTTTCACCATGTTGACCAGGCTCGTTTCAAACTCCTGGCTCCAGATGATCCACCCACCTCAGCCTCCCAAAGGCGTGAGCCACTGCACCTGGCCCCTTTCCTATATTTTTAAAATCAAGTTTCAAGACCATCATTGGTTTGTCTTCAAAGAATTTGGGAGGGTTTCAGTGTTGTATAATAATACAATAAGTGGGTTTACATAATAGACATATTTCTATGTCACTGAAACAAGTGCTTCAATAAAGTTTATTAGCCATTATTGGCTGGGTGCAATGGCTCACACCTGTAATCCTAGCACTTTAGGAGGCCGGAGTGGGCAGATCTCTTGAGCTCAGGAGTTCGAGACCAGCCCCAGGCAACACGGCAAAACCCCGTTTCTATAAAAAATAGAAAAATTACCTAGATGTGGTGGCGCGCTCCGGTAGTCCCAGCTACTTGGGAGGCTGAAGTGGGAGAATCACTTGAGCCCAGGAGGTGGAGGTTGCAGTGAGCCGAGATTGCACCAGTGAACTCCAGCCTGGGTGACATAGTGAGAGCCTGTCTTAAAAAAAGAAAAAAAAGAAAAGACCTTATTAATCATCCTAATGTGTTTTAAATTTTCCTGTGAAATGAGCTTTGAAGTATTTGTGTATTATTTTGATATAAGTATAGAAACTTAAATGTATAGATGTCAGGCTGCTTCTGACACATCTAGAATATTTTTGAGCAGAATCTGGTGCATTTATACCTCATAAAGTAAAACTAATAATAGCTAATATCTTTTATATATTCACATGCCTGGCACTGTGTTCTATCTTTTATTGTTTCATTTGGTCTTCACAAAAACAACAAGAGGTACACGTAGCCAGCCACCTACTGGTGGTTAGTCTTGGACTTCGGTGCTAACACAGTAGCTAGAGTGGTTCACATGTGATTTGTCTGGAGGTGAGGTTTCCGAATCCGAAATCTCAACCGTTCTGCTATCCTGCCCCTCCTGTGTTCTGTTTTGTCTGCAAGAACAAGTTAAGCATCTATGGCTGAGATAAAGTTTTATAAAAAGACTATGGTCTTGAGATACCCAGTTTGAGTAACAGTGTACTGAGTCATCTGGACCAACCCTTTTGCTGTGAACAGCAGTATCCAGCATTACTCATGAACATAGATGTGGAATACTATCGCAAACCTAATCTCATAATGTATGTCAAGACTAATATGACTAAGTCACATATGTATGTTTATCATATACCACAATAAGATTTTTTAGGTTAACAAGCTTGAATTAAAATCTGAATTTGAAACGTGGCACCATTTACTTGTTATACCTTTTTGAGCGAATTCTATTACTTCTTGAAGGCTCATTTTTATCATCTCTAAAATGGGGATGATCATGCTATTTTGAAGTCCTTTCTGATAATGAAGTGATATAATACTTATAAAACACCAGTCGTGATACTGCAGATGCCCAGTGAATATTACTCATCCACCCTTCTTCAGCCATTTCATTACCGAAATACTGTTAAGTTTATGCCACAGCCATTATGTTTTCTCTTAAATTCTCTTTGCCATTTAGAAACTATAAATGCATAGGAACTCAGTCCTTTCCTACTCAGAATTTATCACTCGATTCTGCATATTACTGCCTGAGTGAGCTCACATGACGCTGAAGCCAGGTCCTTGTTAGTGGGATGAAGATAACACAGCCAGATGAGGTTTACCTCTGCGACTGGGGATCACCAGCTGCAGCAGACCTCTCATCGGCTCCATCCTTTACTTCTTTTAAAGCTGATTATTTCAATTAACAATAAGATTCCCTGTTTATTTTTTGCATTTACTAGTATTTTATTTCTAAAATACTAATCTGGGCCCAGCGGTACATCAGAAAGTAGAGCAGTCAAAAGAGACAAAAATCCCTGACCTCATGCAGCTAAAATATTAGTGAGTAAAGACAGACAATAAAATACACATAATAAGGTGAGAGCGTGTATTTCTTCACACCTACACCAATCCTGAGATAGTATTTAAAGTCGATCATTGTGAAACAGATGTGAAAGTGCCCCCAAGTTGGCTGGGCGTGGTGGCTCACGCCTGTAATCCCACCACTTTGGGAGGCTGAGGTGGGCAGATCATGAGGTCAGGGGTTTAAGACCAGCCTGGCCATCATGGTGAAACCCTGTCTCTACTAAAAATACAAAAATTATCTGGGCGTGGTGGCGGGTACCTATAATCCCAGATACTCAGGAGGCTGAGGCAGGAGAATTGCTTGAACCCTGGAGGCGGAGGTTGCAGTGAGCCAAGATTGCGCCACTGCCCTCCAGCCTGGGCGACAGAGCGAGACTCTGTCAAAAAAAAAAAGAAAGTGCCCCCAAGTTGATGCAGACTATTGCCATCTAAATGTTTCCATGTGACTATGTCACAAAGATTCTTTTTCTGGATATTGTTAAAACTGAAGTTGTGGCCGGGCACAGTGGCTCACACCTGTAATCCCAGCACTTTAGGAGGCTGAGGCAGGCAGATCATGAGGTCAGGAGATCAAGACCATCCTGGCTAACGTGGTGAAACCCCATCTCTACTAAAAATACAAAAAAAATATATTAGCCGGGTGTGGTGGCGGGCACCTGTAGTCCCAGCTACTCGGGAAGCTGAAGTAGGAGAATGGCGTGAACCCAGGAGGCGGAGCTTACAGTGAGCCGAGATCGCATCACTGTACTCCACGCTGGGCGACAGAGTGAGACTCTGTCTCAAAACAAAACAAAACAAAACAAAAAAAACTTAAGTTGTACATGATAAAATGGCATTGATACTGCATTTAACATATAATTTTGCACTTAGATTTGAGAGCATTTTTGTTGAAAGATACAGATTCAATAGTTTCATACTAAAGTTCCAAATATTACAGAAGTTTCTCAGCTATAGAGCAACTTCTGAGAATTTTTTAATGTATCTGTTTTTGGTCTCTGAGATTACTACCACTTATTAAGCACTGGAGGGGTAAAAGAGAAAGCTTAGACACAGGTAACTATTTCTTTTTTTTTTTTTTTTAACTTCTATGTGTGATCATATAAGTAATTTATTGTAGGAAATTTCAAAATACAGAAAAGCATCAAGAAAAAAAGTAAAAGCAGCTGGGTGCGGTGGCTCACTCCTGTAATCCCAGCACTTTGGGACGCTGAGGTGGGCGGATCGTGAGGTCAGGAGATTGAGACCATCGTGGCCAACATGGTGAAACCCTGTCTCTCCTAAAAGTAAAAAAAAAAATTAGCTGGGTGTGGTGGCGCGTGCCTGTAATCCCAGCTACTCGGGAGGCTGAGGCACAAGAATCACTTGAACCCGGGAGGCGGAGGTTACAGTGAGCCGACATCGCGCCACTTCACTCCAGCCTGCTGACAGAGCGAGACACCCTTTCAAAAAAAAAAATTAAAAGCAACCAAAATCTATCCTATTATCCAGGGGATAACTACTTTTTGTTGTATATTCTTAATTTTTTTTTTCCAAAAGTAAACATTAAATATACAAAACTATTATACATTTTAACTTTCCTGATAATGGATTAAATCTTAATGTTCAATTTTGTTTCAAATAAATATTTCAGATTACTGTTTATTTCAGGTTCGCGGACCTTCCCGAGCTGATCCTAACCATCTTGTAGATGATCTGCTAACACCTTGCTCTCCAGGTGACCCTGGTGCCATTGAAATGACATGGATGGATGTCCCTGGAGATAAACTTTTGGAGCCAGTTGTTTCCATGGTTTGAAATTTTGTTTGTTTTTAAGAAAAATTTTAAAACATTATAATTTTCAGTTACATAATATTTGCTGGAAAATCTTACTATTAAACAGGTGTATTTTAATACTGTTGACTCACATTAGAAATTATAAAGTTAATTGAACTTAAAATATAAAAAGTAATTATTTTTAAACTATTTTCTTGGGTTTTGAGGAAACTTTAAGTGAAAAAGCTATTTTTTAAAGCACAAGATTCTGACTTTACAGGTCTTACAGCTAGAATATCTCCAAAATGCTCATATATAGTATAATTATTGCCAAAACCTAACTAAAAAAATAGGATTGGTGAAATTTTTTTTTCCTTGCATCTCAGGTTTTTTTAAATAACTAGAAGTTGCCTGTAATCCCAACACTTTGGGAGGCCAAGGCGGGCAGACCACTTGAGGCCAGGAGTTTGAAACCAGCCTGGCCAACCTGGCGAAATGCTGTCTCTCCTAAAAATACAAAAATTAGCTGGGCAGTGTGGCACATACCTGTAATCCAGCTGCTCGGTTGAGGCAGGAGAATCACACAAACCAGGGAGGCAGAGGTTGCAGTGAGCTGAGATTGCGCGACTGCACTCCAGCCTGGGTGACAGAGTGAGACTCTGTCTCAAAAAAAAAAAAACAAAAAAAACAGGGCTGGGCAAGGCGGCTCACGCCTGTAATCCCAACACTTTCGGAGGCCAAGGCGAACTGTTCACAAATTTAGGAGATTGAGACCATCCTGGATAACACGGTGAAACCCCGTCTCTACTAAAAATACAAAAAAATTAGCCAGGTGTGGTGGCATGCACGTGTAGTCCCAGCTACTCGGGAGGCTGAGGCAGGATAATAGCTTGAACCCAGGAGGCGGAGGTTGCAGTGAGCCGAGATCACGCAACAGAGCGAGACTCTGTCTCAAAAAAAAAAAAACAAAAAAAACTAATGTTCATATCATCATATTTATAGTGTTTTCTAGTTCACTTTTCAAAGGTCCATAGAAAGTTTAAATAATGTAGTTCTATTTTTATTTTTAAAAATTACAGTTACATATTTTATATTGGAGGAATTAATATGAGACTTATTTTGTAAGGCGTGTTATTTTTAGGGAACTTGGGGTGATTGAAAAGTTGATTACTTATGGAAGAACATTCTCAGTTTTCAGAATTTTCTGTCAGTTTCAGATCTTTAAGGACTTTTAATGGCGGGTTTAATAGTAACTTCCAGAGGAGAAACTTTTACCTGATACATAGACATACATGTAAATGTGTGCACGCCTATATATTTGTGTGTGAACCAACCATAATGCTTATCTGAGAAGTTACTCAGAAACCCCTTTTGTTTTAATCCTTGGTATATTATTTTTTATTTTTTGTACTTTGTTCAACTTTGAAGAATTTTTAGTGACTTAGAGTAGTCCTCTTTATTATTTTTCGTATCATTTTACAGGAGTCTTGGCTTAGAAGTTAGTTTTTTAATGAATCTCTGATATTAGCATATTTTTCTAACCATTTCAATCTTAATTGTAACTATGGTAAAATTCTGGTTAGTTGATTTTTCATAAAATGGTATTCTGCTTCACTTACGTGTAAGTGAATGATATTTTCCTTTTGAACTATACTTAGAAAACTGATCTCTTGTTTAAGAAAAAGAGATAAGGCCAGAAATTAGATCATGAACATCTTTGGAGGCCTTGATCCTCAGACTAAGAGGAATGTCCTTCTGATAATGGGGAGCCATTTGATCAATGCAGGGGAAGAAAGTGTAAGTTTCTACACAAAGTAATAACATGATCAAAGATCTGTGAAAGAATAGGGGCCGGGTGCGGTGGCTCACGCCTGTAATCCCAACATTTTGCAAGGCAGAAGCAGGCGGATCACCTGAGGTCAGGAGTTCGAGACCAGCCTGACCAACAGTGAAACCCCATCTCTACTAAAAATACAAAAATTAGCCAGTCATGGTGGCAGGTGCCTGTAATCCCAGCTACTTCGAGGCTGAGGCAGGAGAATTGCTTGAACCTAGGAGGCAGAGGTTGCAGTGAGCCAAGATCACACCACTGCACTCCAGCCTGAGCAACAGAGTGAGACTCTGACTCAAAAAAAAGAACAGGGAGTTTATTGTCAGTATCTTATGGTAGACGGCAAATATTCATATTTAAACTTAGGTTAAAGTTCATAACAATAATGATAATATGACGGTTTTTTATTTTGTTAACTCTATTATTAATATCCTCCCTGCCCTTCTTTTTCCCTGACAGTCGGATATGTTGCGGTCACTATCTAACACAAAACCTACAGTCAATGAACATGACTTGTTGAAATTAAAGAAGTTTACAGAAGATTTTGGTCAAGAAGGCTAAACCAAAGACAAGGAAGATGCTTACTCATATGTATTCTTTCTTTCATAGATATTTTTGTCTATTTTGGATCGCATTGATTGTTTCCAGTAAAACACTTTTACCACAGGGAAATACACATCTCACTTCAGAATTCCATTAGGTTTTATATTGTACTTTTCCTCCATTACTTATTAAATACTTCTATTAACAAAATGTACAAAACAACAGGTTATGAGGAAATGAGCGATATATGAATGGCAAAAAATAGAAATTACCCAGTAGAAAGGATGTCAGAAATTGATTGACATACAAATATTTAAAATTTTTATGAATAGTGGTCTTTGCAAAGAGCATTTATCTTTTTTTTTACTAAAATGATATAGGGTTTATTTTATATTTTCAAAAAAATTGTTAAACATTCTTATCAATGTAAAATTTACGTTATTAAAAAATTACAAATGATAGAATCTTTACTCTCAGGGATGGGCAATAAAACAGCAAAGAGCATTGTGATTGGGTTTGAAAGATTTTGAATTATAGACAGTGCTCTTACTGGTTTTTAATAAGTTGATATTTTTTTCTGTGTAGATTTAAATAATTTCTTTAAAATAAGTAAGCTTTGACTGGGCGTGGTGGCTCATGCCTGTAATCCCAGCACTTTGGGAGGCCAAGACGGGTGGATCACCTGAGGCCAGGAGTTCAAGACAGCCTGACCAACATGGTGAAATGCTGTCTCTACTAAAAATATAAAAATTAGCTGGGCATGATGGCGGGTGCCTGTAATCCCAGCTACTCAGGAGCCTGAGGCGGGAGAATCACTTGAACCTGGGAGGCGGAGGTTGCAGTGAGCCGAGATCGCACCATTGCACTCCCTGGGCGACTGAACGAAACTCTGTCTCAAAAAAACAACAACAGTAAGCTTTTATATTTAATTAAATGATACCTTTCACTGTGCAATCTCAAGAGGAAGATTTTCTAAATTAGACATTGTCTTTACCTTAAATAAGAAAATTGTCTATTTCAGTGTCTTTTTGTAGCAAGATTGACCAAAACAGGTGGTAAGTGTGTAATTTTTAACTGTCATGAAATACTGTAATGCTAGTAAGGAAATGGTCTCCCTTTAGATTATGGGAAGTTTCTTGTCTGTGATATGGGGTGTCTGTGTACATATATGTATATTTCCTTTTTTAATACAGGATAATAATATGGGGTCTTGTCCTTCACCTTTTAAGTTCAGGGAGCAGTTTGTCCTGACCACACATATGTTATCAGTGTAATGCTTTATGAAGCTTTAGAAATGAGCTCATGACTCATTAAAAAATAAACATGATACTATTTTAATATTTTCAAATAAATAATCTGAGGATGTGTTTCATACTTTAGCATCAGCGCTAAGTTGTGCCTTGTAGATTTGCATTGTCTATACATGCAAAAGACTATTAAGTTAGAATGAAGTAGACTCCTTAATTACTATGAAATTCTATCTTGCAAATGCTCTAGAATAACTTGCATTTTAAAGTGTATTTGCACATTTTACATATGCTATGTGGTTGCCTTTGGGTTTTCTGTACAGATTGTTTTTGTTATTAAATGGAAAAGGCCTGAATTATGCTCTTATGTGAAGTAAATCGATAAAACCCATTGACTGTATTCTGTGTATTCTTTATTCTGGGACCATCTGTGTAAAAGAAAATATTACCTAAATTGGTTAGATACAAAGAAATCATTAAAATTATTAATGTATACATGAAAATTCTGTTTTTCAATGACTTTTATGCACGGGTTGAGAACTAACTTAGTAGACTAACACTGAATTCTTTGTGGATAAGGTAATTTATACATCTTACCCGTTTATCTGCCTCAGAATTACACAGTACTGCTGTGTGTTCTTTATGCACAGATACTCAGAGGAACCCGAATGGGCATGTTCTGTTTTTCTGGCTCTTGACCAGTAATTATGAAGTTTAGGTAGACGTTTTCTGAGTCAGCAAGTAGATCATAGTTGTTAAGCATCTCTATAATCTACACCCTGGATATTTGAAAGCCTTTTGCCTCACCTTGAGAAATCTAGAAGGACTCTAATTATAAAACATGTCAACAGAGGATTGACTTCCGAGTCTACTGTCGACTACATGCAGAAAAACAGAATGGGTGTACGTGATTAGTGCCACAGAAGCACCATTTAGCCACTTGTATGAGAAAGAGGCATATCTACCTGATGGTACAGTGTCTTGCAAATGAAGCAACACAGTGCCTATTGTTGACACTGATGTTATCTTAAGTTTGTGAGTTTTCACATGTGCCCTTTTCTTTCCTACTTTCATGCCTTCATTTGTATCCTTCTCTTATTCTAATATGGTATCTTTTTTTTTTTTTTTTTTTTGCTAGTCCACGTATTTCCATTAAAACCTAATGATGAACCATGTAGCCTCTTGCAGGAAGACCGCCTAAACTATCCCCATCCTAGTTTTGCCAACTGCTAAAGAATTAGCAGTTAAATTGCTGCTGCTGTGTTGAGATTTTTTTCTGTTTGAAGTATGTTCTATTGACCATGTTTAGATCATTTAGACTGTAAGTTCTGAGAGTTACATTTTCCCTAGCAATTAATGTATTGCTGGGTGCTATTAGGTACTTAGTATTGGAAAAAAAGGAGTTATGTTTTAATTTTGATCTACCTCGTGGATTATGTGAGAGACTTATAAAATAGGTAAGTTTATAAAGTGACTTTGTTCTTACTTGTCTAGTGAAGTTATGATAAATTTCTGTCTTGGTGATTGAGAACTACAAAATCAAAAATGTATTCAAACTAGCTCACCCTGGCTCACCAAAACCGATAGTACCTCTTTCCCAGCTGCGAGTTCAGTGACCTCATACTAGAAATTTAAAGTCTGCTGTGATGGGAATATTTATACCATAGAAATCAGCAAGAGTTCAGTTAGCCATAAAAAACAAGGATTGCCTGTAACTTAGGAAGATTAATACTATTTACTGCATTTACAGAAATAAAGGAGACAAGTTATTTATAGATGCATAAAAAGCAATACAATTCAGCACTTGCTTTTTTTTGAACTGCACAAACTGGGAATAGAAGGGAACTTCTTAATAGAAGAAGATCTAGAAAAAAACCCTATAGCCAACGTATTTAATTGTGAATTTTTGAAAAGTTTTTTCCCCCAGAGATCAGGAAAAAGGCAAAGTTACCCACTATCACCACTTTTTCTCAACTTTATACAGATTCTAGCCAGTGCAAGCAAAAGAAATGAAAGTCTTACAGATTAAAAGAAGAAACAAAATTGTCATTCACAGATGACATGATTGTAGAAAATTGATATAAACTTACAGAAATAATTTAACAAGGTTGCAGGATACAAAGTCAAAAATTATTTATCTTAGCAACAATTAGAAATTGAAATTATGAGAGTGGTATGTGCCCATAGTCCCAACTATTGGGGAATTGAAGTGGGAGGATCACTTGAGCCCAGGAGTTCAAGGCTGCAGTGAGCTGTTGTCACACCACTGCACTCCAGCCTGGGTGAGGGAACGAGACTGTCTCAAAAATAATAATAATAATAAGAGAATACTAATTACAATAATATCAGCATCAAATGCCTCAAAATTAATCTACTCAAAGATTGGCAAGACTGCCACGTAGAAAACTATGGAACGTTACCAAAAGACACTGAGGAAGACCTAAATAAGAGGGGGGTGGACCCTGTTTATGAGATGGATGACTTACAAAAAACAAAGTCAATTTAACCAATTCAATTTGTAGATTTAATGCAATTCCAAATCTGGATCTGGGTGGTTGATACAAAGGTGTATGTGTGTGTGTGAAAACTCATATGCTTTATGCTGTACATTTATATCCAGATATGTAGATATCCAGAAATAGGTACTAAATAATTTACTGATTATTAAAAATCTTTTCTAGTTTGAATTGTTTTTATGATAGTGTCTCCTAAGTGTATTTTTCTGTCCATCCATCCATAATCATTCATCCAGAAATCTGCATGTTCACATAGACATCTAGAATGTCTTCCACATAATACTCATGATGTTATTAGATTGATTTTTTTTTTTTTTTTTTTTTAACTTACTTTACCTCTCGTATCTCCTTCAGGTCTATTCCGGTGTCTCTTTTTCAGTGACACCTTCCTTGGCCATCCTACTGAAAATGACAAACCCTCCTGATGCTCCTTATCCCCATCCCTGGCTGTATTTTTCCCCATAGTGCTTGTCATCTAACATACGATATAATTTACTATTTTCCTTATGTGATTTCTCCCACTAACATGTATGCTATGAAATCAGAGTTTCTTGTCTGTTTTGTTCTCTGCTGTATCTCCAGTGTCTAGAAGAGTGCTGGTGCCTGATGGGGGTTCAACAAATATTTGTTGAGTGAGTGAAACTTACTTTGTATTCTTTCTAAATTTGTACAATCAGCATGTATAATTTCTGCCCCCCACCCCCAGTGTTATTCTAAAAGAAAAGTAGGACTGAAAACACCTCAAGAAATTAACAGTGACTAAATCCTGGTGAATAGAAATATGGACATTTTCATTCTTTTCTTTGTATTTTTATCTTTATTTTTAATTTCTCAAAATTAAGACGTTTTAAGGGGCTGGGCGCAGTGGCTCAGGCCTGTAATCCCAGCACTTTGGGAGGCCGAGGTGGGCAGATCAGCTGAGGTCAGGAGTTCGAGACCAACCTGGCCAATATGGTGAAACCCCATCTCTAATAAAAATACAAAAAATAGCTGGGCGTGGTAGCCGGCGCCTGTAATCCCAGCTACTCGGGAGGCTGAGGCAGAATCATTTGAACCCGGGAGGCAGAGGTTGCAGTGAGCTGAGATCACGCCATTGCACTACAGCCTGGGCGACAGGGCGAGACTCCATCTCAAAAAAAAAAAAAGAGTTTTAAGGAAGAATTTGGTTGACAGCAAATCACAGGAATTAGGACTCCTCCCCCTCTAGAACCCTATGAAATAACAGGAAATGTTTTAAAAAGAGAACAGGACAGTCAGTCAGTCATCAAACAGATGTACTCTGGAGAGGTGCTGTTCATCTAACTGCCCTCTGGCCTCCCAACACAGGAGCCGAAGTGGGGAGATCCTATTTTTCTTCATCACTTGGTAACCAGTAGCTGGGCCCTTTATGTAACCTTGGCATATCAAGTACTGCCACTAAGTTCCTTCAATCTTGAGCAAGTAACAGAGAGATGGCAGGACATTTAAAATAGGATCATAGCAGCATCACCAGCATCTAACTGGATGGGACTCTGGTAGCTCCTAGTGAGACAGCTGACTACATCATTGCCTATGGTCACACGGAATGAAGTGCCCAGTGAGGACAAGACATTGGAGAGCCACTTTGCAGCTGCTGTAGAATAAAATAAAGAGCATGAGAACTTCAAACGGCTGGTCAGGGCAGAGAAGGAAAACCAAGGATCTTCTGTGACTGTCCTAAAATAAACATTTCTTACAGCCACAGTGCCTAAGTAATCAAAAGCCAAACTCAGTATTTGATCCTGCAGGTTGCTGGCAATCAGTTGAATTCACAGATTGACCACGTTTTGTATGTGAAAGGAAGAAAATTTAGTAGGAAAACAGCAGGCCCTGTAGCATTAGAATGTGTATATTTGTGAAAATTTGGAGGATTCTGAGTATCAGCATCTGGAGCATATGTGACAGTGGGTTATGCTGATGATCAAAAAGCAGAGGAAACAAGTTTCCGATATGATTGGATG